AAAGGAAGGAGAGGGGGAAAAGAAAACCACCCCAAAAAACTTTTCTTTCCTCCCCCCAGAACTTCCTGGGAGGACCCGGGCAGGCCAATGGCAGCCGCCGCCACCGCCCCGGCCGCCCGCAGCCAATGGAACCGCCGGGGCGGGCGAGGCCGCCGGTCCGCACGGAAAGGGGCGGCGGCCCCGGGGCTTTGGGGACGGGATGGGGCGGGGGCGATGCTGGGGCTGAGCGGTGTCCCCTTCCCGCCCTGCTGGCCCGGGGACGGTGAAGCCCTGGGCGGGACGGGTTAAGCCTCTGCTGCCTCGGGAAGGGACTGCCAAGARCCCAGCCCTTACCGGGGCAGAGTTTGCTCTCAGACTGGGATTTTTCGCAGGCAGGGATTTTCAACAATGCACACAATGGAGTCCCCGTCTCGGCTCCTGGGGCTGCTCGGTTTTATCCAACGACCCAACAAGTGAACCTTTCTGAGCTCTTGTCAGGGGTGGTGGGAGGTCATGGGGGGGGGGGCCCTAGTACCCCTGGGAAGCCATGCCAGCTGGCCTCAGTAAGGGAATTGCTAGAGAGGGTCCCAAAGGAAAGGGATGAGGAGCTGCACATCACGAAATGCCAGGCTCTATTGTGCAATCGCACCAAGGTGATGCTTCTTGCTGCAAGGCAAAGGGAAGGTGCCAGAGCTCAGTGCTGAAGAAACCTGGCATAGGTGGGGTGATCTGGCCCAGTTTTACTGGGTGACTTCAGGGCTTTGGGTTCCTCTCTGGCCTGACGCAGGGAGGTGAGGGAAAGGATGTCATCCGTTTCAAGTTTCAGAGGCCTTTGACAGCCTCTTTCCTGGACACAGTTTGTCCTTGTGTAAAGAACAAAGGCAGGTCCTCGCAGAGGACGACCTGGCCCGGATGACTGATGTGCACAGTGGGGGACAGAGGCAGGAACTTGTGTGCAGCTGCCAGCTACGTGGGCTCCCGTGATACTTTCTGCAGCCCTCCAAAACTGCTGCAGTGCCATTTTTGGCATCGCAGGAAGGCAAACACAATTAATTGTATCTTCTTTCTCACCATTAAAGCCCATTTCATCCCTGTAAAATCCTCTGTGCCATCATAGCACTGGCCAATAATAAAGCAAAGGAAAGCAATTATGCTGAGATTTTTGTCCCAGGTCTACTGTTTGCTCATCTCTGGCTTTATAAAAATACTCTGTGCCTCAGTTTCCCCAACTGAGAAGTGGGTGAAGGGCAAAGAGAAGGGGTGTGTTAGTGAGCACGGCCATCAGGACRTCATGGGAAGGCAGCAACATGCTCAGCCTGCTCAAGGTCAAGTGCTGGTGACCTAGGTCATGCCCACAGTGACCCCCAGTGAAGGGCAGCTGCCTTCCTCACAATTCTTAGGGCCCGGCCCCTACCTTGTTGTGCTTCTTACTGGCATTCAAATGTGGCTGTGGGCTTCCAGAAGWGCTGGTACTGCTTTGAGGTGGGAAGGTGCTTCCACCCAGCTGAGGCTGCAGGGGAGAAAGCAGAAACTGAAGCCAATGGGGTTTAGCCATCACCTCAGTTTCCCAGATYTGAGGATCCATCTCCTGGTGTGGGCCAGGGAAGAAACCATCTTCCCTCCTCTTACTGCCAGGCAGGCAGCACACTTTCCATAGGGAAGCAGTGCACCCAAGGAAATCAGGGTGCACAGAATTGCAACCCAGGTGACCCACCCCATCTGTGCCTGCCAGTTTTAGTCCTCACASGGTCCCCATCATCTCTGCCCTACTCACATGGTAAGTGAGAAGACTCTTGTTCCCCCAGTCAGTTTCCAATGGCTTCTCGGGGCTATGTGTATCTCGGGTGCGCTCAGGACACTTCCTGTCYTCCTCCACATGTTCCACTGGACTCTCAGGCCTTATCCAGCTGTCATCTGACCGTAATCCCACRTCCAAACATCTAGCAGGGCTTTTCCAGTCCCTTCCTGGCTGGTGCACTGCATTTGCATGGCACACGGGCATCTCTTGGCGCTTCCAGTCCTTCTCTCGCACCTGTGCTTGGTGGACATCTCCCCGGCCCCTCCAGTCCTGCTCCACTGGTCGTGTTGGGCTTGTGGGGCGCAGGGGCTTGCCTCGACCTTTGCAGTCACTGCTGGAGTCCTTTCCAGGTTGGGAGGATGTCACCTTTTCCCGGAGGCTCTGCCAGATGCATTCAGATGGCTTCCTGGGACCTGCAAGGTGCAGCGGTTCCCCTGGCTTCACTCGTTGCCTGTCTGTGCCCCGCACCAAGCTGSGAGGGGAAATCTCCTTTTGGCTTTTCCATGTGCTGTCTGTACGTCTCCCAGGACTGAGAGCCCGTGGTGGTGGCCCTGCCCGGCTCAGCCTGCTGTTATCTGAGCCCTTCCTGGCACTTGTGCTCTTCTTCTCCAGTGCTTGCCACATAGCCCCTGCTTGCCAGGTGGCTTGGCCCCTCTCCAGGTTTGGGGGGCGGGAGGGCTCCCCTCGGCTTCCCCAGCTTTTCTCAGTGCGACCAGGCTCCCCTGCCCTCCTCTCCAACCTGGGGGCTGGGCTCACAGAGCGTGGGCTGCGGCTGCCTCTCTCCAGCAGCCAGCCAGGGCTGGCAGGGCGTGGGGAGTCCCTGCGGTTCCTGCTGGCCTTCTCTGAGTGCCGAGACGGGCTGGGGGAAGGCAAGGATTTCTTGGGGTCTCTGCTGCGCTGCTCGACCTGCCAGGAGAGTCGCTGTCCCTGGGCCAGAGGGGAGAGAGAGCAGAGAGTCCTCTTAAAAAAAAAAAGCTGCCAATGAGCAGAACGAGATGGGATTAAGGCTGGCAGGTGATTTGATTAAATGGTTCCCCAGAGGGCAATCRCATTCCTGTGCATGGAGCAGCCCATACTGCAGAGAAACCTCTTGCACTCAAAGTGTGAAAGGGCTACTGCAATTTTAGAGCCAAGGGTCTCAGTCTCATGACAGAGGGAGAGCTGGGTTTGGAGGGAAGAGGGAAAAGGGGAATTAAAGAGAGAAGAACATGGCAGAAATGGGGGAAAATGTGGCAGGAAAAAGCAGCTCAGCTTGGAGAGCTGGGATGAAGTCCTGCTGTGCAGCCAAGCCTCACCTCCCTGGACAGGTTGGGACTGGACCGCCTCCGAGTTAGGTGGCCTTTGCTGGGTGGCACCGGTGTCTTGCCATCAAGCCGGTCCACACGGCCCTCCTCCAGAGCCTGGAAGGCCTCCAGTGTCTCTGATTTCCTGTGGGCACAMACAGTTGGTCCAGCTGCCACCCTGTTCAGCTTGGAAGCAGAGCCTCTTCAAACCCTGCTCCACCTTAGGCTGACCCCACAGACCTCCACCTGCCCCAGACACTGTGTGCACCATAGCCCCTCTCTGTCCCCATCAACAACCTCMTCTTTCATATCCTGCTGCCTCACCCATGTCTTCTTCACACTATTCCTCAAGCTTCCCTCCATCTTTACACCCCACCCACTTGCCCAGGATACTTCCCCGGTCCCTTTTCATGTCCCCTCCTGCCCTGTGCCACCAGTGCTGGAGCCACTCTTGCTTCTCCAGCTAAAGCCTAAACAGCTACTGGGTACTTTTGTCATACCCCATAGTTTCCTGAGTGGCTCCTACAGAGAATGTAGAATCCCTGGTGAGCTATTGATGCTGGGATTGAGGAACACCTCTATCCTTCCCCTTTTCTGTGGGGAGTCCTGCAGATTCCAGATGGCTGTGAGGATGAGGAAGGTGGGCTGYTCCCTTCCAGCAGTGCAGCTTAGCTCCACCTTTCCAGCAGCCTCAGCTGCCTGCGTGCCACAATGGAGGAGGCTCCCTGCATTGGGAGGCTCTAAGCCTAAACCCAGCCCTTGCTTTGAGRGAAATGTAAGCACAGCTGAAAGCTGAGCTCTGCCATCTAGCCCTGCCTTCCCCTGTAGCACGGCGATTCAGAAGTGGGGGCCCCCCAACAGCATAGAGGGGCAATCCCCCGGCTGTGACCACTGTGGAGTTCCGTTCCTTCTCACCTGCGTTCACATCCAAACATCCTCTCCACCTCCACTCGGCCAGGGCTGAGTGTTCGGGAACCATGGCGGCCAACAGCGTCCCGCTGGCTGAGGCGCTTGGGCTTGGGCAGGTCTGCCAGCACTGTGTACTGCTGCCTCTCCAGCCCATGCYGCCCGTCTGCACCCCCACTGCCGGAGTGCCCGTGGGACTCGCGAACCCGTGGGCCATAGAGGTGCCCACTGCCACCCCGTGGGTCACTGCGGGCCGGCGGGGAGCCAGCTGAGGCACGTGGCAGGGTGGATGCCCAGGGAGGGTCAATTTTTCGATGCTTTGGCCAGCTCTCCTCAGGCTTCTGGCTGGTGGGACGACGCTCTGGGACGGGGAGAAGGCCGTTACTGGGGGAGGCACGAGCGACGCGGGATGCCACCACGTCCACGGCAAAGCAGGTCTTCGGAGGAGAGCTAGAAATGGTCCAGGAGGGCAGAGATAAAACCCAGACTCCCTCGAGGCCGGGTGGGAGCACTGGAACACAGCACTGCCAGCCAAGGTCATGCCAAACCATGCAGATAGAGAACACCCGAGACACCCATGGTTCATGGTCAGCACACACGCAGACGGACTCTCGCATAGTGCCCATGGATGTGTTGAACACTTCCTGGGGCCAGAATCAGATAAAARGATGCTAAATCTAAATAGAGATCTGCTGTGAACCTCAGAGACCCCGGGTGGAAATCAAACCAGAACCAGGATCTCACACAGGAGCAAACCAAGAGTACCTGCTTTCAGTGGACAGATTTCTTTCCTAAAGTCCTGGGCTTCGGTTCTCACCCAGGATCCAGAGGGAAGAGACTGAGCCCACCTGGATCCATCTGCCTGTGGGGCTTGTGACCGCACCTCCTCCTTACGGCCCAAGTAGCTCATCATGTCCCGTTTGCCCGATCCCAAAGTGTTGTCCCAAAACCGGGTCATGTCCCCTTCCTGGGAGACAAGATAGGGCAGATCTCTGCAATGGGGACTAGCAACTTTTGTGGGCTGGAAGGAGGTAAAAGTACATATGAAAACTTACAGCCTGTTCAGCCTAAAGCTGCTGGTAAAAAGGAACCAGAAGAGGGGCTTTGTGAGTATAAGATCACCCCAGACCAGCAATGGCAACAACAAAGGAAAGTCTGCATGGGAGAATCCAAGAGCAAGTCTCATGACTTTTTTATGGGGAGAGCCTCCTTTGTGGCRACTAAGAGTCTCAGCTGATTCTCCCCTTGCATCTCAGGACCTTGGAATCATAGAATATTTTCAGTTTTAAGGGACCCATAAGGATCATCAAATCCACCTCCCTGCACATGATGGGCTTCTTCTTCTATCTGCCCAAGGCACGAGAGCCAGAGAGGAAATTCAATGTGTTGGTGTCCAGGAACCTGCTGAATGGGCCCAGCAAAAGAGGCATTGAAAGGCCAAGGGGGCTGGAGATACCAAAATAACCCAAACCACAAGAGATCCCCATCTCACCCTGGCAAGCGTGGAGTTGGCTTCGGCACAGGCGCTGGGGTTGGTGCCAGTTTCTCTGTGCTCACCCTCAGCTTCGGGGCTGAGTGGGGGATCTTGCCTGCTCTCGTGCCAGCTGTGGGGCAGGGAGAGAGGACAGCTGGTGGTCAGCACAGCCCGCAGAGCTCAGGGGCGAGTGCCAGCACTGGCAGCCCAAGCCACACTGACTCACTCCCTACTGGATGGGCAGAGGCTGACAGAGCCATCCTGGGACCACCAGCCTTGGTCTGGAGGGAATGAGGATGAAGGAGGGTCTTTCAGAGGCCCCCTGGCCTCTCCTGGAACAGCCCAGAGGAACAGTTAGAGGGCATGGCAGGGGGGTTTCTCAGTCCTTTTTCCCAGTCACCAGCATGCAGAGCTTCAGGGAAAAGGTATCTGATTTCCCCCTGCTTGGCTCCSCGCTCCCCCTCCTCCATTCTTCCCACCAAGAGGCTTGTTGGAGCAGCAGGGCTCCCGGCTGGTACTCACCGCTCCGTGCCTTCTGCCGGGCCCACACAAACGAATACTTCACACTGYGGGGCTAAAATATGGAGGGAATCACAGGGCTGTCCTGGAGCTGCGTTGCTGCAGGCATCGCGCCCTGTGACCTCCGTGGCATGCTCCTGTGAGAAAGAAGGGGTGCAATGGTGCTGTCAGTGTGCCAAGGATGAGGATGAAGGCTTCCCCTTGGAAATGCCTGCTTCTTCTACTTCCTCCGAGAGCAGCCTGGCCTCCAGGGCTCTTGATATCTCTCCCAGCCCACCGTTGAGATTTTTCTTCTACGTCAAGAGGCCAGAGAGGTGCAGTATGTTCCTATTTGATGCTGAATGCTGTAGACATCCCAGAGACTGCATGTGTGGATGAGAGCTCAGGGATGCACCCCCATGTTGGCACTGATGCTGCTGTTAGCCGCTCTCTCTCCAGCAGGATAGCTCAGGGAGAGGCAACGGAGCCAAGAGGAAGGAAGATTGTTGCAGAAAAGGCTGTAGCCCCAGCCTCTGCCTCTGTCTGTCAGGGCTTGCAGGCATCTCAGCATCCTCCCTGGCCCCGTTACCTGCTGGGCTTATGAGCAGCAGTGGGGGTGGCTCCAGGGAGCCGGCTGTCAGCRCCGCCTTCCCTCCAGCGTCTCGCCCGCACCACGATTTGCTCAGAGGTGACAGCTCTGAGCAGATAGAGGGTGAAGGGCTGAGGTAACCTTAGAGGGCCCAAGACCAGGAAGAGAGGGGAGAGGGCAAGAAAGGGAGAGGGAGGCTCATTATTATTTCATCACCCCTGGCCAGTCACTCCTGAAGGACGTCAAACAACACGAAACCCTCTGTGAACATGAAACCAGCTGTTGCCCGGCCAAAGACAGCCAAGTAGCTTATGTGTCCTGCCCTGATCCAAAGGACAGTGTTGGGTCGAGGTATCTGGAGCCCAAAATCCCACGAAATTTATCCCTCTCCTGCCTTCCTCTCTGCGAACAGTTTGCTGAAGCTGCCCCAGGGACAGGACTGAGCCCTGGCCCCAAGCCAACAGTCAAGGCCAGAGTGAATCGACCAGGACCATATTTAAGGTGAGGCATAGCTATAAATGCCAGCAAGCATCAAGCAGAGATAAATACAGGGTGGTTCTCTTCTCTCCTTGTAGCTTTGCACCTGTGACACTCTTGYTTTCCTTTCTAGGAGCTATCAGGCCCCTTGGATCCAGTGTCCAGCTTCCCTGCTTTCAGCCTTGGTCTGGACACAGTTAAATCAAGAATTAGTATGCCTGGAAAGACTGTCTGTGCATGCAACTTTCCCCCCCTCACAAGACATCTAGAAATCCTGGCTGAGGCTTTTCTTAGGGATTTCCATCTCTACAAAGGCAGATGGAGACCCAGTATAGAACAAAGGGGCCCTTTGTGAAGAATCCATAGCCTCCAGGTGGGATGGAGGAGCTCACCTGGATAGCACGCTGGTGAGCCTCTGCATCTCGGAAACAGTGCTGGCACAGGCTGTTTGCAAATATGTTGGCTTCGAAGTTCATGCAAGGCACGTCATCCACTGAACCAGACATTGTGCATGGCAGGGACGAAAATCTTTGGCTGAAGGGCTACTGGCAGGGGCCAGCCAGGAGAAAAAGGAGGGAGGAACAGCAGCAGAAGAAACTGTGGAAGCAGGAATGTTATTTCCAGACTGAAGTTTGCTGCTCCCAAYTGTCAATACTGGTATCTAAGGGAACCCAGGTACAAGGTGATCCAAATAAATACAGATAATAAGAGTGTGCTCTAGCAAGGATGTCTTTCAGAAGAGGGCACTGCACCCTGAAACGATTGCTGACACCCCCCAGTTTGGGAGTCCTTGCGAACAGAGGGAGTCATACGCGTGTCCTGCTACTTTGTTTGATGGAAATTTTCTTCCTCTCTTAAAAGGCACAGAAAGGAAACTTTTCTTCTCCATTATGTTGCTCATAAAGGGATGATCCYAAGCAGCTTAGGAAATTTGGAAACCCATTGAGACTCTTCCTAAACTTATGATCCTACTGCAATATGAGACCTGTAGGACAGCCGATTGCAAAACTGTAAGGGCAACAAGCACTGCTAGCACAACAGCTTGAATCCGCACTTCTGTTCTGTTTTCTTGCATCCTGCCCACCACCACCACCTCTATCTTGCAGGGTTTGAGAGTGAGTCCTCGGATMTGAGGATGTGATCTGAGCTGGGAGGGCTCTGCCTAATCTGCCCGGAGGAGGCACCAACAGAAGGACAGGAAATCAGACCAGCATTTGAGATGTGAACATGCCACTGGTGCCCTAAACATGGACACTTGAGTCAGAGCAGCTGGGCAAGGCTATGGCTGCTCCCCAAAACAAGCAAGGCCAAACGTCAATGCCAAAAACCAAGCTATAATTTTTTGTCAGTGCAGTCATTTTCTGTATAGCAAGTTGCACAAGGGTCAACCTTGCAGCATCCCTCCTCACAATGGGGCATGTTTGCTTGACTTGTTCAYACGAAACGCTAGACAGGAGCCTCAGCATTTCCCTGCCAGGGATGCAGCACGAAACGCACCAACATAGCTGCCCACCACTGCCCACGGACTGCAGTCCGTGGCTGGAGCCCCTGGTACCCCACTGCCTGATGGGCAAATCATTGCTCCCCACATCACTTGGGGCCTACTGCCAGGATAATGCTGCGATCCCCAGGGCCTCTGGCATGCATGCACGCACGCAGCCAGCCATGCTCAGCGCTCCCAGTGCCTCCCAGTGCCCCCAGTACCTCAGTTTCCCTATGGCTCCCAGCACCTCGCCGCCCGCCGAGCTCCCCCCTCAATGAAGCTCGCCGTGGGAACCGCGGGGAGCGGGGCCACGCCCCCTCCCTTCCGATTGGTTGCCGCCGGCCGTTGATTTGCATAGCGCCGCTGAGTGGCCGGCGGCGGCGCGCGGCCAAGGCGCGCACGGGCGCGGGCTCCACGTGTCGCTGGCGGCGATCGAGCGGCCGCGCTGAGGGGGCTGGGCCGGGCAGGGGCTGCGGCTCTCAGCACTGCGGCTCTGCCCCAGCTCTGCCCTCGGCTGCAGCTCTCAGCACCGCCTCACCGCCTGCCCAGGGTCCTCCCCAGTGCTCCTCAGGAGTGAGATAGCTCGAAACAGATGCCAAAGCAGTGGACTTAGCCGCGAGTACTGAGACAGCGAAACGCCACCATGTCCCAGCACAGTGGGACAGCAGGAGGTCATGCCTACCCACAGCACTCAGAGAGATTTGACTAACGTGGGCTTTACCTACCAAGCACAAGCGCTGCCTGACTCTTGCTGTTACTAGCAGAATCCCCTTAACATCTGTCCTCTACTTCTTCTACAATTCAAACTCCTCTTCCCGATCCTGGTGAGAGTTAAAAAAACCTCAATTTCACATTTTGGTTATTCATTAAGGGAACTCTGCAATCCACTCTTCAAACCTATCTACCCACGCAACCCATTATCCAGCTCCATTTTAGTCCCCAAAAGTTCTTGTCACCCTCCTAGTAACGTTTTCCTCGAGTTCATTTCTGGAACGCAATGCTGGAAGCAGCAGTGTGACTATACTGAGTACAGCCTTGTGCTTAATATGCTACTAAAACAATAACTACAGTGCACTGAATATCACACAGCTCATGCACATGCTGCAAACATTCCTCCTTTTTGGAGGCTGTACTCCAAGTTTTCCCCAAACGTCTGACCTTTTTGCTGCGCTCCAATTTTTCCCCAACTGTCTGACTTTTTTGGCTCCCAGTCTGCTTTTGATCCTCTGTAATCCCAATTATATTTYTGTGTGTGCATGTGTGCGGAATCACGGTCTAGCCAATGAAAGCCATCACGCATGGCAACCCCAGTGTGGCAGCCCATGTCAAAGCCCYGCATCTCTCTGTGAGCCTGGGGCACATGCACAGCAACGCTCAGGTGCCCGAGGTGACCTAGCTGTGGAGCGACGTGTGAAATGCCTGTGGAAATGGGAGCTCACAGGGAGCTGTGAGCTTTTCCTTTACCGAGCTAGCACGCTGATTTCTGCAAGTACCTTACATTTGGAAGCAGCCTCCTCCTGAGCAGCTAAGGGGGGCAAAAAACCCAAAAATGCTCAAATCCACTTTGACACCAAGTGGAAGCAGCAAACGAAAATTGTAAGTCAGAGTCTGGTATTAACTGTGATGTCTTTGGCAAACACTTACCTCACTAACTTGTGTGTGAAAACTCATATCCTCAGTTCAATATATCCAGGGGTGGCCTGACTGTACACCCTGTGCTAACAAAAACATCGGGCTAGGGCTGAGTCAGTAATTTACATTACAAAATAAAGCTCTAATCAATCAAATGGAGAAATCAATAGTGTAGTGAACAATCCTGACCGTCAATGCTGTACAGGATTTAGCAGTTCTGTTCTCAGTTTTTCCACAWGCTTTTTTGGTATTTTGAATTTGAAAACYCTTTTTCTAGCAGGGACTGAAAGAYTTCAGAGCATGGAAGAGGCTGTTGGAGATTTCAGCTGACACTTGAGAAAGGCTCAAAGATGTAATTAGGTCAGGGAAACAGCAAACTAAAAGTGAGATTCTTCTAGGTCATCTGGCAGCAAAATGACAAAACCTGAAGTTACTCTTAACACCTCATCCAGAATAAAATGAAGTTATCCAGCTCTGTCGCAGCTACTATGCCAGGCTGCCTACAGTTGGGGGAAGGCAACTGATCCATATTCCATATGCCACACGCCAGCAGATTTCTCAGATAGCACATTTCCTCTACAGTGGCCATCCTAGCTCCTGAGCAAAATCCTTGGGTGAGGAAGAACACAGGTCACCTTCTGTCCATGGTCCCTCCACAAGGCACTATGTCCTGGAGAGAAGGGAAAGCTGCTGTATCCAGACCAAGGATGTCACCCTGTCCTCCAGCTTTGAGCTGCAGTCCCCTTGATGTGGTACATCTCTCCGAACAACTTCCTTCTCCTTCCCTTCTTCATCCCTCTCAAACACAACAACCACAGAATGCTCTAGAGCATGTAACTCCCAAACCAGAACAAGGAATACTTAATGCTCCACATATGGGGCCTCTTGGATACTTTGGCAGTTCAGCATCACACTTCTGGCCTTGCCCAAGTTGTGTTTTTACAKCTCTGACATCCAACAACCTCAGGTGAGATAGGTAGATAGGTAAGGTCACTCATTAAATCCCATTACCTTTCTAGGGTAGCTTTTAAGGCAGTGTTTGAGAACTGTTTTGGAGGTGAGAAAACTACACACACACTTTAATAATGTGACTGAGTTTATTGAGTGTTAGTACCCAAGAACTTCACCCCAGGGCGGGACTCTGAATCCAAGCATAAAAGGCACCAGTGAAAACAGTGTCCACTTCCCCAGCAATTCCTGTCTTCAGGAGGGAAGTGCAAAAGGACCCCATTCCTTACCACAAGCATGTGTGTCAGTTTTTCCAGAGCACTCCCTCTAGCAGAAACTGCGCTGCCATTGTCAGTGTTGATCATACCAWCCCCCTTAACACATGCTAGAGAATGGCTCTGTGTGTGCATGCTCCAAGAAACAATGGAGAGAGATACATCAGGCTGGTGGCCATGAGTATTGCTCTGATGTTTCTCCATGCAGCCTCAGGCACTGCTTTACTCTTTTCCCTCCCATTTCTGGCATGAGGAATCTATTTGCTTGCCCATTGCTGGGTTGCAAATTTTTTTGGTGTGGGTTTTGGACATACAGGCCTTTTCTTTCTTTGTCATTTCCTTTCCAGTGCACACATGACATAGGAGGAGATCTGCCTGACAGAGGCAGAATGGCCATTTCCTACAGATACTCCAGGACAGAAGCCACTATGCTGCCTGGGCTCACTCTCTTTCTCAGAGGATTCACTTGCAGTTTTGCCACCGTATTCCTCAATCCCAATGTAAAGTTTTTTTGCTCCCCTGCAGAAGGCAACCACWCTAAAAAACATACACTGAGGTCCTAAGAAAAGCAATTAGCTGCTAATAACTGCAGCAGCCTGGAGGTAAAGGGCAAGGGCAGTCTCTGCCASTCGCACCCCAGAAAGGGCCACACACATACAGCAAGGGCATTAGGGCATTTCATACTCTGAGCTATCGCAGTTATAATTGGCATATTCAGCAGACAATGGAATGAGCCATTCCTGCTCTATCTGGCTCTGCCTTACCACAGAAATAGCTCCTAGCTATTCCATTTTCCAAGCACCAGTGGATTTCAATATCCTTTAAGCACCAGGAATTATCTCCCTCTCTTTCCAGTTGGTACTGGTGCTAGCACAGCTCCAGCTATGCTTCAAATAAATCACAGATTTTTTTTTACCAAAATCACTTCAAATTTATTCACAAAATTACCCAATTTCACCTGGCACAAGTACCAAACAAAAGCACCCCTGCATTTAAGGGTAGCACCATGTGTGTAGTGAAGAAACACATGAGACAGGATGACACCTTGCCTCCATGGAAAAAGGATTTACTGCACAGCAGAAATGCCAGGGCACCAATGCAGGAGTGCAAGCAAAACTCTTCCAAGTCTCTCAAATTGCCCTGATGATGATRTGCCCGTTGCACTCTGCCCCAGATCCTCTTCTTTGATAAAACCAAGTCTCAGCTCTGAAAGGCGAGGCCCAAGGAATAAGGGTTACACCAAGTAGCGAATATGACCTGTATCAGAAGTTTTTAAGAGATTTTCGTGGCAATCAGACACTTAGCTGGAGATCACTGCAGAAATAAACGGGTAGAGCATCTAGTCACCTTGGCCAGTGCTCACAGGCTACAGAAAGGCTGAACTGGGCTCACTGCTAGTCAGAAAACCCAAGTAAATAAGGAGCTTGACCACAATGACAGGGTCCCAAAGAGCAGCAAGCCAGATGTGGAGCTCTGTCCCAGCTGCTGGTCTGAATACTGGTTTCTCTGTTAATCTTGGTCATGGCCCATTTTGCCTGTCAGCCTTCGTCGCTGAGTCTTGGTGGTTCGCCCTGTRCTGGACTTCTGGATTTTCTTACGTGGGCCTTGCCCACATTGGGATCTCTTTCCTTTCCTCTTTTTCCGGCTGTGCATGTGCAGTGTGGCAGTAAGAGAAGAGATTCTGTGCAGGGCAGAAAGAGAAAAATATTTGGGAACTAAAGCCTCCAGAAGCAAGCCAACACCACAACAATAGCAGGAGAGCCCTGTGTGGTCCAGCAGGACTGGATGCCAGACATGGCAAGTCCCAGAGTGACTCCAAGCTATTCAGAAAACCCGCAAGTCTCCATGTGTGGTAACAACAAAATTAATTTTGTGAGCATTGTGCATCCTTGACACCACAGAGTTAAAGTAACTCTCCACACCCCCAAAACAGTTGTAAAACCTGGATGCTGAAAAATGTGGAAAACGCCTGAGCTTTCAGCTTTAGGCTCTTTTGACCTTCAACCCCAGAGACAAGCTCTGCATGCTGCGGAATGTGCTGCAATGCAGGACCGGCTAAGAGGCGCGGACGAAGCCCACCCTTCCCCCGCTCCGCCTGTGCAGTCACGGCAGCGGCGGGAGCGGACGGGACGCGCGGACTCCGCTCCGCCAGCGCCCTCTGCCGGGCAGCACCGCACCCTCCCGCCGCCGCGCCGCTCACATCGGAACCCAGCATCCTCCGGAGCACCCKCCAGAGCCCAACAGCAAAGGCCTGAAGGAATCCATACGTACTTTTCAGACAGGAATGGGTTTCTGGACTTCTTGGGCATTGTTCTTACAGGCTTGTTCACCACCTCTTCCCCTTTCTCTTCTTCAGATCCATCACTTTTTCCCTTAAAAAGAAAGCAATTTTGTGATTCTGGCGCTTCTATTGCCTTTTTGGTTTCATCYTTTTTAATGAATTGACTAGTCACAGATGAAGATAATTTAATTCTGTCCAAGCATCAAGGTTTCCTGCTGCAGTCCCTCAGAAGGCACAACCAAAAAGAAATCCTACAGTAATCCACCCTAAGATCCAAAAACTTGAGCATGATCTGAATGGCCAGTTGAAATTTAAACTAGGAACCAAATGTCCTGGCTTTTTTCTTAAATTACTGTCAAGACCTCTTAGAGTGGATTTTCAGATTAGACTATCTTACAAATATAAACACAGACACTTCGCTAAAGAGCTCAAATCCAGACACAAATCACAAAAATTAGAAGGATCAAGTCAAACAGTACCTGAGAGTCCCTATGAAACAAATACAAGATCTTAGTTACAATGTATTTTGAGAATAAAAAAGACCACAACAAGAACAGAATGGTTTCTTATTTGTGGTCCAAGTACAGGATTATGGAGAGAGAAATCCCTCCTCATGATAACAAGTAATATTTCTGAACAGGATATAGGAAAGAGGTTGAGGACAGCCCATGYAGCAATTTTGCTTTCGATTTTGCTGAAAGCTCTGCATCAGCTTTTAAAGTACTACACTGTTGCCATCCAGTCCAGTAACGCTTTTCCTTTAATCATGGTCAGTGGGGACTAGCAAACCAGGGAGGTTTGGAGTGAGCTAYTTACATATGACATTTCTTCCCCTTTAGAGGCCCAACATACATTGCRGAAGAATCTGAAAGTTATGAGTTTCCCTTTTCATCCCTGTTGCCAGCCAGCTGCAGGTCTTTGGACATATTCAGGGAGCACCAGCCCTACCTCACCAGCCCCAGGAAAGTGTACAGATGATAYAGAGAGGTAGCAAGAGGCTTTACCATGGGGCTGGTCAGTCCCAGCTGGCGTGCCCCAGAGAGGTCCAGGTCACTGATGGTGGTCACTGTTACAATGTGGTTTGGGTGGTCGATGTTCACAGACTCTGTCCGTGATGTCACCAAGTGCTCCAGTTCATCAGCTTCCTCTGGGAAGACAAGAAATCCTGCACTGAAAAGTGCCCAAACTTTCACAACATGCACTCATTTGTTCCTGCTGCAGCATGTTGGGCAGGGGCAACACCCAGCCTTCGAATGCAGGGATAAAGGGCAGAGGGGCTTGGCACTGCAAGCCTGGAGGGCAAGCTCCTTCTCCCCGCTGAGGGGACCTGGTGACACGTTGGAGATGTCGTCCTGCTCCTTCCTTTCTGTACAACCTCCCTGCTCCCCTGTGCCAGAGGGCTGTGGGGTCACCACTCAGATCGCTGYCCAGCTTGTCTGGGGACAGGACAGGACGGAGCAGCTGTTGCAGGACAGTGTGCGAGCATCCCTGCACCAACTSTCATCACCCAGACAAGGTTGCCGGACCACAGACGCCCACCTCCCTCCCCAGCGAGGGYCCAGCACGTACCGAGCGCCTCCTCCCTCTCGCTCAGCATCTTCAGATACTCCTGGTGCCGCTGAGGAATGAAAACAGGTCATGCGGCGCCTCTGCCGACTCCCCCTGCCCCGCTCACAGCCCGCCCTGGCGTGGGGGGGAAACAAGACCCTTCCCTCACCTCCTCTTTCATTTTCCTCTGCTCCTCCTTCAGCTTCCGTTTGATCTCCTCCAGCGCCGCCTTCCTCCGCTCCACTTTCCGCTTGTGGAAGCCGGTCAGGTACTCCCTGCCGCCGGCAACACAGAACCCGCCGGCTTTTAGGGACCGAGCGGGGAATGCCTTCCTCCCTCGCTCCCCGCCTCCCGCCCTGGGGCTCGCCCGGCCTCACCTCCGCCGCTCCTCGTCGAAAGTCACCACCAGCCGCCCCTCGCGGCCGCCCGGACCCTTCTTGTTCTTCTTGCGCCCCATAGCAGCCCCACGGTCCCACGCTGCTGCTGCCGCCCGCCCCTTCCGCCGGAACGCCGGGTGTTGTGTCCTCTCCCCGCCGACTGGGGCGGGACAGAGTAGCCAATGTCATGGACCTCGCCGTCGCCTGTTCCCGGCCCTAGCRTCCAGCCTGGGGTGGATGCGGTTTGCTTCAGGCATGGGAGCCTCCAGCTCCACTCCTCTTCAGCTTCCTGCCAGCAAAAGGTTCTGTGGCACTGCATTTTGCGGACATGGCAGTGTAGCACCCGATCTCAGAGCCCGAGACTCGTTCTGACACTACAGAGTGTTTTACATCTACGTCTCTTTAATAAATGTCACCCTCCCGAGCAGTTAACAGCTGAGCATTCTTCAACAGAGCTCTGAGTTTATTTCAAGCAACTATAATCTCTTAGTGTTAGCAGAGCATGTGCTGCTCTTCTTATCCAGAAAAAGCAATTGTGGAGATGGGTCTGGGCTCTGATGCTGAGTGTCCAAGTCGCAGYATCTGGCTGGACAGCTGTGGTTTCTGTTGTGGTGGAGAGAGGTACTGGCATGAGTTGGTGGGGTCATGAACACTGCCATGTTCTGATGGCTTGCAGTGACATTAGCTGAACTCCTGAACTTTTATTGCCCCCCTGTTCCGACTTTAAAAATGGGTGTAGTAATATCTGTGTGGTGGCCAGCTGACTTCAGTGGAAGCTTCTGATGTACTTCTGGGGTAAGCCAAAGCCAGCCCACGCCGCCCACAGAGCATGACAAGTCCTGACATGAGTCCTGTCACAGCCTGGTGGCCTTGTCCACAGCCAGTTTTCCTTTATCAGCTTGCTTGCTGTTGTGCTCTTTTCCTGGTCTGTCCTTTCACCAGAAGAAATGCGGAAAAACCAGTTCTGTGGTTAATTGCTGTACTTCCCTCCACGCCCATGGGGCAGATCTCCTCCTCTTCCTCACTCCTCTCGAACAGTCTGGGTGCACTTCAGCCTCCAGCCTCTTTGCCCCTGCCTGTGCTCAGCTGGCTCAGGTGCACCGACAGGCCTCTGTGCCCTTTCCATTGACCTTAACCTTGAGCTTCTCCTGCCTTCCTCTTTTCCCTCTGYCTGCTAGAGCTGTTTTGCTGCTGGCTCCTTCTCTCTTGGATAACACAGTGGGTTGGCCTGCAGGTGTATAAGGCGTAGGCAGCTGCCCTCCTGGCCCTGTCCTGCCCTGTCTGGAGAGATACCATTCGGAGCTGATGGCTGGAGGAAAGGAGCGGAGCGTGAAAGCCCTGAAGGAAGTGTGGAAAAGAGCAGAGAACTCTTTGTGTGCAGACTGCGGGAAACCAGGTGAGTCTCCAAATGATGCTGGAGGAAGAGTTGGGAAAGAGGAAGCAGGGAGCTGGGGCTGATCTCTAGTGGCCACTTGGTGTTGGCTGTCTGGATTGCACAGGAGCCTGGGGCAGAGAGAAAGGGGAGGCAATGCTGTGGTTATTAATTTCCTCTCCCTGGAAGTGGGTTGGCAAGGGAGGAAGGAGGGGATGCTGCCATAGCACTGGTGGGAAGAAGGACAGGGTTGTGGGGGTGCCACAAAAACTGGGGATGCATAGCTGCAGCACTGTGGGTTGTAGTCATGTCAAATCTAAAATGCAAATCGAGGTCATGCCCAGTCAGGACCTGACAGGAAAGCTCCCAGTGAAATCCTAGCTGCTCCAGAAAGAAGGCATGATTCAGGAAGGCATTATCTCTGCCATGACTCAGCTCTGAACTGACAACGTGCCACAGTTGCCTAGGAAATTTCAACTACTGAAGGGCTTGCCCTATCAGAAGGGTACCCAGTTTAAGGTCTACAAGTGCTAAAAACACCCATTGTATGCCCCCAAAAGGAATGCACCACCCAACCCAAATTAAGTCTAGGCAAATTAGTAACACTGCCTTATTAAATTCTTCCAGGAGAATTTTAGATCCAAGGTTGTTTTCCACTTCCTGAACTAAATACTGTTGGGGGTTTGCTGTGATGCACTAAACAGCTCCTGGAGTCTTTTCCCAGAGGTGGTTTCATTTTCGTCTGGGTGATCCTCTACACAAAGGGAGTTCGCAGAGCACTTAGAAGTTTTTCAAGATATACGTCAATAAAAATTCAGACAAAATGATTGAAACAGGGAATGGGGGACTAACAGCTGGAAAAGTCCAGCTTTCTAGTCCGGAAAACCCATCCAGGCCTTGGGTGTTAATTAATGAGGTCTGGTGAAACTGTGGTTGCTCAGCTCGCTGTTTCCCAGGACTACATTGCCAGGTGAGGCATGTCTCCCAGGGAAATCCACCACTTCTAGTCATATTATTTTTCATATCCTCAGATCCTGACTGGGCATCCTCTACTTTGGGTGTCTTTATATGCCTTAACTGTTCAGGAATCCACCGCAACATCCCTAGCATCAGCAAAGTCAAATCCTTGAAGATGGACCACTGGGATGATGCACAGGTGCAGGTGAGATCTTTATCTGTGATGTCTTTATCCCCATTAGTGTACCAGGTGGTTTGGGACTAGGCTATATACTCAGTGTCCTGGCAAAATTAGCCCTTTGACCTCTCAGAGTTGGAATGTAATCTGGTTTAATCTGTTCGTTTTCTACCCACGATACTCAACTGTGTATAACTCCCCGTGACCCACTGGCAGAAGGAGGATACACTTGCCTTATTTGTCTCCTCATGTCCTGCTTTTTGTCAAATGCAAAGCTCTAGCCATGTATCTTTCTAAGGCTTAGGGTCTTTGTTGCTTCAGATTGTTTTCCACTTGCCAAGACTATCCAGCCTCGATGTCTCCTCTTGATTCCAGCAGTCCAAAGGGAAAATCTTGGGCAATTCCATTCTCAGAGAAGAGCTTCCAGATATAATATGATCTCTTGAGAAAAATGACATTTATGGGAACTTGATTTCTCCTCATTACAGCCCCCTCAACTCACAAACCTTCAGGGGACTGAAAATATTTTCTGAAGATCCAAAGAAAATAATCTGTGTCTCGTTACTCTTTGGAAGAGGACCAAAGAGGTTTGGAATGTTCTTCGAGATGGCGTTGCATAGCTGTTGTCAAACTCTCCAGATGTGGGGCATGGCAGCAAATCCACTGAGTGTGTGTGCACCCAGCCTTAAGGAAGTGACATTTATGGCCCTCTGTTGATTCAGGGGCAATCAGTGTTAAGTCTGCGTGTAGATGAGACCTTTGAGACCCACCTTCCTGCAGCCAGACTGCTGGAATGTTGCAATGGAGGGGAAAGAAAGTGCTCCATTAGAATTTGGTGTGCATCTAGCCTTATAGTGGGTCAGGAAAGAAAAAGGTCCAACATGAATCTACATCAAAGGCAAGACACTAACTCTCTGTCTAACTCTACAGTTTCTGGCCAAGCATGGGAATGCTGTGACTAAAGCCATATATGAAGCTCACATCCCTATTTACTATTACCAGCCAACCTACAATGACTGCCAGTAAGTTTCTGCATACAAAAGAAAAGAGGGAAGGGAAATTCTCTGTTCCCCAAATTCCTCTAGTTAATTTCTGAGCTACCTGTCACCTCTCTCTATAGAGTGCTGAGAGAACARTGGATACGGGCCAAATATGAACGCAAAGAATTTACTGAGCCGGGAAAACAGCTGCCATATTCTGATGGTATGAACACAACATTAAAAAATCTTGCCTGTTGCCTCTGCTGGAAACTTCTGAGCATCATGAGGTGTCAGTGTTGCAAATCCCACAAGTACTCCTGAGAACTGAATTAGTGCTTACGGGGCATAGTTTTGGGGCATTAAATTGTGGGCAACATAGGCTGGCACTGCCACAGGCTGCTTAAAAGCTTGATATTATCAGCTAGCATTTTTCAAAGTAATTTGATGTCTTGGTGGAGACAGACACCTACAATAAGGAGTTTCTGTCCTGCTGCGTGCCACCCCCTCTAACCATGGCAGCTGTCCTTGAAATGCCCCTGCCAGTCCTGTGACACAGGGCATCAGAGCTCAAGGGCCTGCAGAGTCAAGTGGGAAGAGTTCTGGTCCCACACCAGAGTCTGCATGGGCCAGCACTCCCCTGTGCCCAGGAGACAACTCTCACACTGTCAGAGGTAGTAGTGGGAGCAGGACTAGGAGGTGGGAAGAATCTAGGAATGTCTTTTGGTGAGCATTTATCTGCACTGCAAACATGGGAACACCACCATCTTTAGCTGTAAGTCATATGTGAGACTCCTTAAGTATTTAGTCTCTGCAACAGTCCATCATGCTTTATCCCAGAGGGGTGGCTGTGCCCCAAGCTGCGTGCGGCTCTCTGATGCCTACCATGCCTGTGAGGGAATGCTATTAAAAGTGGCTTTTCTGCTCCAAGGGGTGAAGGAAGGCATCCTTTGGAAGCGAGGTCGAGACAATGGGCAGTTCCTACCCCGCAAGTTCCTCTTGTCTGAGAGAGAGGGATGTCTGAAGTATTTCACCAAGCAGGATGTGAGTATGGTGGTCAACTCCCACCTCAGTGTGTACTCCACCCAGAGCAGAGGGGTCAYAGAGATGTTCTGATTTCCTATGGGTGTTTCTGAGGTTGCTTTGTTCATCCAAGCTCAGGGATGAAAACAGAACCACGTCATTGAGGARAAGAGTCCCCTTCCTACTTGTCAGAGTGACTTTTCCTCATGTTCTCCCTTTGTACTTCCCTCACTGCTGAGAAAAGGATTGATCTTTCACTTCACTCCTATCCATTTGCCTGGATGTGTAGTCCTGCACCATTCCTGGGACCAGCCTCACCCCACTGTGAGCCAAGTTTGCAAAAACCTTTTCTCTGTTTGGTTTTGAGGAGGGCTACTGTTCTGTTTGTTCATCTCCCTGAAATGAGTGGGACAAGAGTTAATGTGCTGTCATGAGGGAGGGAACAGCTCAGGGTAGGGAGGAGCAGGACATGCCATTCAGAGGAACCTAGACAAGCTCAAGAAGTGGGCTGATATGAGCCTCAAAAGGTTTAAAAAGACCAAGTGCAAGGTCCTCCACCTAGGTCAGGCTTCTGACCCTGCCTTATCCCACTTAATCAGTAGCTCAGGTTTCTTTTCTTCTAGTGTTGCTCATGTATGATCAATGCCATTCTGTTTTCAGGCCAAAGAACCCAAAATCAGTGTTAAAATAGATATAATCAATGCTACATTCCAGCCAGAGAAGATTGGGAACCCCAATGGGCTTCAGATCACCTATCTCAAAGACAATAAGACGCGGAATATATTTGTCTACCATGAAAGTGGAAAGGTATCTGGTTTTAGCATCAAACAATACAAAGCCATTGAGGTGCTTTGAGGAGCTGCTGTTATTAAATAATATGAAGCATGGGTAGGATGGGGTGTGTGAGTGTGAGTTGCTGTGGGTAATAGGGTGGGGGTTCTGGCTCTGTGTTTGTGTATTTGCGATAGARTTTTGCTGCAGGGAGCTGGGCAGGAGCACTGGCTGAGTTGGTTTGTGTGGGAGGGATTCTATAGAAGATGTGCTGCCTGTGCATGTGGGGAATAGAGCAGCCGTGCTGGATGTGTGCATGTTAGGGAGATGCTGCAGAGGGAGAGCTGACTGTTTGTAGTTAACCCAGGGCTGGGTGCAGCTGGGTAAGTTTAGATGGCCCCCTGTTGCTCTGGCTGAGCTTTCTGTCCTGTCCTGTTCCATTCTCAGGAGATAGTGGACTGGTTCAATGCCATTCGCTCTGTGCAGTTCCATTACCTGAAGGTRGCATTTCCCATTGCCAGCGATAATGAGGTAAGGCAGCACTGGAGCGCAGTGCTAAATGTCCCGCTGCTCATATTATAAAAGAGCTCATTAGTTACTATTATAACCCCAGGTATGGAAATGGAAATTGCAATGTAAAGACAGAGGGATGAGAAGATGTGTTTAAAGGGTCTGTGGTGGTCAGAAAATGGCCACTCTCTATTGTTTCTGGGCATTTTGGAGGCAGAAGTGATGTCTAGCTAGGCAGTTTGGGAAGTATAAATTTAGAAGACGACTGAATTTGGGGCAATAGAAGGGTGTGGGAGGGAAATGAGTAGCGAAGAAGCACAGCTAAGTGAATGTTACTCTCACCGTTTTGTCAGATTAAAAATCGTCTGACGAGAAACTTCTTGAAGGAGGGATACATGGAAAAGACTGGTCCCAAGGTGAGCTGCTGTGGCAGAAAAAATCTAACAGGGACAGAGCACCACTGGCTGTCCCKACCTCAATGTTTTTCTCCTGCTCTTTCCTCATTCCCCCCTGACTCTTTAGAAACCCGTGGGAAAAGTGTGTGTGCACCAAGGGAGGGGAGAATAAAAGGAAGGGAAAGGACACATGTKAAAGTAGATGAAGCCAGAGTCCCTGCTTTCTCCCAGAGCGACAGATCTCTCTGCATGTGTCTGTGTGTGCGTGACCTTACAGGTATTTAGCGTCCAGATTTCTCCTGTCTCAGCTCTGGGGTCCTTCATGGAAGTTCAAGAGCTGGGGACAGCAGCTGGGACTGAAKAACCCAATACTGATCCGCACTCTCAGCTCAGAAAGGGCGAGGAGGAGGTTGCTGTTAAGGCAGGGGCTTGCTTCAAGTGGTTGGGATGAATTTGGGGTATCCATTCGCACTGCTCGCAGCAGAGGGCACTGTGTCTTCACACATGTCACCTCTTCTTTTCACAGCAGAGAGAGGCTTTTAAGAAGCGCTGGTTCACGCTGGATCACCGCAGACTCATGTACTTCAAGGATCCTTTGGTGAGAGGGAGATGTGATCGCCGGGCAGCTGCGGGCGACGGTGCTGAGGGCAGGGTCAAAGTGCAGAGTCTGTGCTCTGCAGTAAGGGTGGCTTGCAGGTTTCCCAGCTGCTATGAGTGGACTCCAKGTCTTCCCCTTTCCATTCTATTTAGTTCATCACATGCTTTCTGTGTTTGTTTCACAGCCTGCAAACAATGGGAACAYGGAGGGCAGCCATATAAAGGTGGTGATGTGGGGGGTGACAAAGAGAGATGAGAGCAGCAGTTCCTCTCTCAGACCTCTTGAGATTTAGGCCCTTATTTTTTCYTTTTCAATACTACCTTTGAGCATAGGCTCACTGCTCTTCTGAATCCCCTGACGACCTCCAAAACTTTTTGCTGCTATGTTCCTGATCTTCAGACACCCTCCTCCTGTCTTTAGGTGCATTTTAATGATTCCCATGTTCATCTGGGATCCCATAAATTGCTGTTTTTCCCTCTTGATGTGCAGGATGCATTTGCAAAGGGTGAGGTATTTGTGGGCAGTGGAGAGAATGGATATAGCGTCCAGAAGGGATTGCCTTCAGGGACACAGGGCAACTTCTCTTGGCACTGTGGCATCACCATTGTCACCCCTGACCGGGAATACCTCTTCACCTGTGAGACAGAGAGTGACCAGCTGGAGTGGATCAGAGCCTTCACTAGTGTCATCAACCAGGCCATGACACCACAGGAATATGCAAGTAAGTGCCTGGATGTTGTTTCCTTCCCCTCCTGCCACACCTGTTCGGGTTATTTCCCTAATGCACTGCCTTTTTTCTTCATTACAGTTGAAGCCTACTTCAAGTTTAAATCCTAGGAAGCCATGCTATGACTCGACTCTGCCTGGTCCTGTTGGAGAGGAGATTGACATCAGAGAAACACAGCGCTCCTGGAGCACCCTTTGAAGCACTTTTGCCCCCATAGAATACCCACTTTGTTTTGAGGGCCCAGTTAAGCTGCTTCTTTTCAAGTGCCAGACTTTGTACATCTGAATCCTCAGAACAACCTGTCCCTGTTCACTTGCTGTGTTCTGACTGGATACTGACAGGGCTTGCCTGTCAGTTAGACCTTGAAAACTTTGGCACTTACTGTGGTGGACATGGTACCTAGCATCACTCCTGCATGAAACTGCAGACAGCCACCCACCTTACACAAGAAAACAGCTGTCTGGCTGGAGCCAGGCATCCTAGCGGGTTACAGGATCTGCTGGACCAGAAGAGCCTGTTCCTTTATAAGAAATGTCAGTTCTACTGGTGACAGAGATGTGAAACATCTAGGTATTTGATCAGTTAGTGCAGTGGTTGACAAAGGTCACTTAAAAGATATAACCTAACAGGCAAATGTRAGGCCTGTTTCTTTCTGCTAGGTATGGGCTTGAAAGCTTCTTTAGACCCCATTTGTGTGCCAACCTTCCACCAACTGCTGCAGAGAAGATTAAGAGATTATCTCAAAAATTATGTGGATATACATTTGGGTATGTGAATAATGTGTGTGTGCACATGTAACAAAAAGTGAAGGAGGTGGAATACTGCCTTAGGAAAGATACTGTGAGGGATATTCATGCCTCTGAAGATCAGCTGCCAAACTTGAGTCTATCAAACCAATGGTGAGAGGTTGGGTCTTGCAGAGAGCAGCTGATAGCGTGTGTAGAGTTCAGAGTCTGCTGTCTCTACTAGAGCCTAGGGGTTGATATCTGAATGTAGATCTCTGCTCCCTCATTCTCTGCATGTCAAAGGCCTGGCACTTGCATCCTGACCCACACATTACCTAAGTTTATTTTGTGTATCACACATATGTATCATTGTACATAGTAGTATAACAGGGGAAGTCTGTATGTTCATGTTATATTACTAACAGGCCAAAACACTAAATCATCCTGTGAGTCTTGTCTTAAAGCTCATCTCTTGAAGCTCTCTTGGGAGAGCTATGTTTCACATGCTGGAAGGAGCAGTTGAGCTCTGCTGGTGACKGTAGTATCTGATGTGTTTGCAGTTTTACGCAGGCAGTGTGAGAGAAGGTGTTTCATGTTAAGGGGAGCTAATTGGAATTAATACAACCAGTATTTTAATTAGCTCCTAAAGAAATAAATAAAAAAATACCACTGTAATTTATTTAAACTTTCTAAACTAGCTGATTTGTTAACTGCTAAGGTATGAGGTTCTTTCTAGGAAAAGAGCACAGATAATCAAACAAAAAGTCATAGCTATTCATTGTATTTTGTGGGACATGTGGACTGTGATTATTCCCATCAGAGCCAAATAGGCAGACTCACGATGCCCCTCTGCTTTTCTGGGGACCCCGCTCTTTGGCAAGACCACCACAATCTGTTGGGAGCATCAAATTCCTGAATGACAAGCAGCATCACTCATCCTGCTGCCAGGAGTGCAGCATSGAAAATATCCACGTAAAAGCATATTTTCACTGCATTTTGCTTATCTCTTCCAGTTTGGAGCATGATTTTCCTGAAAACCCAAGGTCTTTGCACAGTGAGGGTAGTACTGACGGAATGCTTCCCTCTCCTGTTTGCTGCTGAATTGCCACTGCTGGAGATGAGCAGAGGCATTTGACTCAGCCGCAGGGAAGTTAATACACTGCTGATGCAAAAAAGTGTGGCTGGAGTGGCCTGAAACCCTGAGCTAACAGCAGAGTACATGTAGTGTGGTGCATCTGCCTCTCCTCTACTGTCCCCCTGTGTCTTCCCTGAGACAATGAGGCTCAGATGTGAGGAAAGAGCAGGGTAGCATCAGGCATCGGTATCATGTGATGGTGACTCACTAGAAGGTGGTGGTGCCTACCTAATGGGCTTCTGCTCCCTGCTCTGAGGCCAGACAGCTTCCCTGGGCTTCCAGGGAAGGAGGGGGTAATCTTAGAGGAGGAGGATGGTCTTTGTGGAGAGGAARGAAAGTCTGTGTGGCTGCTCCCTGCCTATTGCACTTCCTGGGCTGGCCCTTGTTTCCCTTCTAAAGCTGCAGCATGATGCTTTCCACCCTCCTGGCCATTTTATGGAGCTCTGTCTTTCACTCATCTCCTCTCTCAAATGAGGGCAACTGTACGAAGGGAAATGGGAAAAAGAAAAGGAAACAAGAAGGAAGAGGGAGCAGGAGAAAGGTGCAGGATGATAGGGGGGAAGAAAGCAAGTCTGCCAGAAAGAGGAGGGAGCCAGTAGAGCTCCTCAGCTAGTGGCTAAAAGCTCAGTATAAACTGGGACTGTGTTCACACTGGTGTGTGAAGCTGAGTCAGGCACATTCCTCCATGCGGTGGTCAAGGCAACTCGCAAGGGGTTGGTTCAGTGGGGCAGAGCCCACCTCTCCAAAGCCTGTCTGAGCTGAGATGACACAGACTTGGGAGCAGAAATCCACTTGTTCACGAAGTCTTCTGTTTCCTTGAGCCCAGCAAACTCTGGAGAAGCAACAAATAAGGAGCTGGTGAAGAAAAGAGACGTTTCCTTCTGGCTGGCAGAGGTTTTCTTGCACCTATTGGTCTTGAAGAGAAGTTGCCCCTGTCTTGGCCCTTTCATGGTTAAGGAAAACAAYCAGACAGAGCTTGTGATGGACAAGATCAGCAAAATGGACTGGGCAGCTGGAGGTGAGGAATAGACTTTTCTGGAGCATCCTGTCTATGTCTGATGAACTCTCCCCATTCTTCCCTTGGCTGCTTTGCTGTTAAGGCTAAACGTGTCCTGTAGAGTGAGGGGGGAAGGCAGGAGGAAAGAACAGGTCTCTGAGAGCTTGATTTACTCTTGCTCAACGTAACCCAAAGATGTCTTGCAACCCTTTTGTCATCAGCCCAAGGCCTGGAGAGGATCTCAAGGGTGGCAGTTTCTTGGAGGAAAGCAGTGGTGGGGGTGATGACAGCAATGTCATGGGAGAGGACAGCCTGGTCAYGGGGCCACTGGGCACAGTGCTGCTGGTCATGTGCCTCACTGGGATGGTGGGGAACATCTACACTGTGGCAGTGGCTTCTGRCAGGGTGGCAGGCTGCTCAGCGGGCTCCTTGGGGGTCTACATGATCAACCTTGCCCTGGCTGACCTCCTGTACCTCTCCACCATCCCCTTTGTGGTTTGCACCTACTTTGCCCATGACTGGTTCTTTGGGGATGTGGGTTGCAAGCTTTTGTTCAGCCTGRACCTCCTCACCATGCATGCCAGCATCTTCCACCTGACCGCCATGAGCCTGGAGAGGTACTGGGCCGTGGCCAAGCCTCTGCAGGCCAAGCGGGCCAGCAATGCCTACYGCAAACTGGCCAGTGCCATCCTCTGGCTGCTATCGCTGCTGCTTACGGCCCCCATGATGGTGATGACTMAGCTGCGCGAGGGGGACGGCTCCCACAAGGGCATCTGCACCCCCACCTGGACGCCATCAGCTTTCCGACTCTACCTGACGGTGCTGTTCACCACCAGCGTCCTGGCACCTGGCGCGGTGCTGGCCATCATCTACACCCGCCTGGCCCGGGCATACCGTTCCTCGGCCTGTGGCCTGGGGCTTCTGGTGACCGGCCGGGCCCCTGCCCGGCGCCTCGTCTCCAGGATCTGTGCCATCGTGGTGGCCTACTGGGCCTGCTTCCTCCCCTTCTGGGCCTGGCAGCTGGCTGGGCTGTACCAGGGAGAGGGGCTGGGCATTGGCCCCACTGCCCAGGCCTACCTCAACTTTGCTGTCACCTGCCTGGCCTATGGCAACAGTTGTGTCAACCCCTTCCTCTACACCCTGCTGGCCAGCAGCTGCCCCTGGCGCCCTGGCCAAGCCTGCAGCCCCGGCATGGCTCGCCCTGCAGCACCCTCTCAGCAGCCTGTGGGAAGCCGCAGAATCCCCCTGACTTTCAGGGAGCTTCGGGGTCTGTGAGGGAAAGTGATGGATGAGCAGGCTGGGAACATCTAACCTTTGGCTGGGGACAGGTTGAGAAATAAAGTGTATCACCTTCCATGCCAGCATGCAGCATCTTTCATCAGTGTTGTTGCAGTTCTTTCTCCTTTTCATGACTGCTCATCTGCTCAGCTGGGCAGGGAGAGTACTCGTCTCAGGGATCCTGACTCCATTCTCAGGTCCTTCAGCCCTCACACACCAGCTTCCACCTTGCAAAAGGCTGGGGAGTGGGTGGAAGGGAGCAGTCAGCTTTGAAATGTCTAAATTATATAGTTGGAGAACCTTTGCCACCCCTCATCTCCTTGCTAGCAACCAGCCAAGCCATAACAAAGTCAGGACAACAGTGAGTCATAGATTTCACAAGAGCAGTGAGTCACTTCAAGAAACAGCCACGCTAGCAAGAGGCCTCCCTAAGATTCTTACTCCTGTGGTAAAGSTTTTTTCACTTCAGCTTTCTTCAAGAAACCTTTATCAAAAAATCTTTGAAGAATCTAAAGAAAGACTGCCAAGTGTAGATAAGAGGCATTGTGAGGTCACCCTGTAGTACAGCTCACAGAGTCCAGCGCATTTGTTCAGCTTTTGGGATCAGCCCAGCAGAGGAAGCTGCAAAGAGAGAGCTCTCCTCTGTGTCCATTATCACAGTCCATGGTACCCTCACCATCACCATGGCCTTGCTGTGGCTGAGGAAAATAACCTGATTCTCTGGCCTTCCAGATGTACCCCAGTCTGCTAGACTGTGTCAACACCACTGTGTAAACTGAGCCAGGTCTCTTGCCTTGAGACCATCTAGCCTAGCATGGCTCACTTCCATCCTGCTGAGCCTCTCTTCTCCAGAAAGGATGGCTTCATCCTTATCATCCCACGGGAAGAGTSCCCAAGCTATGGTGTCCCCCTGCCATGCCTATGCATAGGGTGGTAATGCTAGGTGTTCAATTATAAATGTAGCCCTAAAAAGAGTGTGATGTGGTCATCCAAAAGCAGACTGGCCTTAGGCAAGACCGGACTTCTAGAGAGATCCAGCTGCAGAGCCACTTATTGTTTGTACACCCCAAGCGTTCCTGCCTTTCAGCTAAGCTCTCAYATCTCTCTTCCTCCTCAGCCCCACAATTCCTCACAGCCCAGTCTCTCTCTGCATGGGTACCTAGGACACAGCACCTGGCACAGCCTCATGAATTATGAAGCAGGAACAGGAGGTACCGCTCCTGTAGGAGAAAGCTCCTGTTCTCCAGCTGCTCAGTGGGAAGAATTAGCCCAGCCAGGCCTGCAGGGAGTCCTGTAGTACATCAAATTATTAGTGTTTTGTGTTGTTCATGGCCAAGCCCAGAAGTGAGAACCTGAAGTCTGGGTCCTTTCATCCCAGACCTACCTGGTAACTGCCATGCACTGTGAACAGGGCAGATCCCACCTTTCCTGTACCCACCAGGCACAGCATGCCCAACAGCAGCAGCCATTGCTGCCAAGGCAGCATTAGACTGAGAGAGCTCCCAAGGCAGCTCTGCAGTAACATCAAACATACCTGACTGCCTCAGACTCTTCAGAGTCTAGCTTCAGTTTAGACTCAGAAGTGCTCAGGCTCATTTGAGCCAAGTAAAGTGGTAACTAAAGCATAGTGCATAGATCCTAAGCATCCCACACTCCAGCTGGACATTGCTGCCTCTTTTAGCTCTGGATGGATCAGGAAAAACACATAGGGCAGAATAAAACCAGACCCCTCTAGGTTACTGCCCTCATGTGCCACACCATAACACTTGGTGCTTCTGCAGTTACTGGAAGAAAGGATTTGGTTGAGGAGCCCTCTGCATGCTCTGTTACACCAGAAAGGCAGCTTTTTTACTGTCTCTGTAAAGCAGCATGAGGTCCCAAGAAGACATAGGAGGAGGAGGATCARCCTCTACAGGAGGCTACAGCCAAAACTAGCACAGTTGAGGACTTTACCCACACTCCATGCCCCACTAGGTTCACCTAATATGGTCACTCAATGCTGTCTGATGCCAGCCAGGGGTKCTTAGTTTAGGCAGAGATTGATTTAATCAGTTTTATTCTGGAAGTGTAAGTCTGGACCTCAACAGTGGATGACTTTGCCTAAGAGACTCTTYTACTCTCTCTCCAGTGACAGTTAGCCCCAATGCCTCCTCCTGCAACTCTCCTTGGATTTTCAACCTTCTGTCTTTCCAGGCTTTTAACCCTCACCCTCTTCTCCATCCTTTCAAGGCTAAGCTGGCACAATTGCATCCACTGATGGTACTGAAGCAAAACTGACCACCCTCATCCACCCACTCCCAGCAAGGTGCCTAAACCATGAACGTTTGCAATATTAAACAGATCAGATTTTGAGAGTTAGTACACCAAAACTCTTGTTTATTGATTGCTTTTTCTGTATCTTTGAGATGGAGGTGTCAGAAAAAGTTATTCCCAGCTGAGGGACTGGAGTGTGAAGTCCCCTTGTGTATCAAAGTAGTCAAAGACAGAGAGATTAAGCCGGTTAGGGAACGTGAACTGGTGGCCTGGCAGGTGGACTGTCACATCATTTGGGCTGACAGCAAAGGTGATCTGCAAGACAAATGAAAAAGTCAGAGAAAGTCTCCTCAAGCGTCTCCACTCTGCAGCATTGTTGTGCCACCCTCTGCTTCTCAGGATGAAGAAGTCAGTAGAATAACCTGTTCTTCAACAGCAGGAGTGTTATTCTGGTCTCCCAAGAGATGCTCATTCCCTGCTCTGTTCAATAGTATCATCTTTGAGCCAGATGGAGCTTGCACATTTGATCCCCACCCTCCATCACTGCCCAGATATCTGAGTTGTGGCACTGGCCAAGCAGGAGAAGCCAGCCACCTCCTGTAAAGACAGCCCTGAGACAGCCCCTGCAGCTGGGTGTCCTGTGCCAAACACCCTCCCTTCACCAGAGTATGTACAGAGAGTGTATATATATATAAATATTTGCATGCCTCACCTCTGCTGTGCCCCCTTTCTGGAAAGGAAAGACAGTCTCCCTGTGCTCTGCACCCCACTCTTCCACCTTCTTTGAGTTGCACACRATGGTGTTCACATCACCATGAGCATCAAAACGGGGGTTGAAATGAAGTCCGAGGAGGGTAGAATCCTTCCCCAGATTCATCACAAAGCTGCAGAGAACAAAAAGTAGACATCAGTACAGCTAAGAAAAAAAATTGTAAAAAACTATCCTATGGAAGCATGTTTCTCATTACCATGAGCATCCCTTGGTTTGTTTCTTCAAGCCCAGATGAAGGTAACCTAAGATAAACCCTTTGCTAAATTACACAGCTTCCCTAAAGAGAAGGTGCTGTGGCAGTAAGGGGTATTTTCCTCTTCTGGGGTGATAGGCTCCAGAGTGCCTGGGAGAGAGACCACTTTGTTTCCTCAAAGCTTTTAACAAGAGAATGGTTCAGCACACAGACTCCTGAACAGAATTATCCTACAACCAAACCAGTTCCCAAGGAGTCAGCTGCTTTCCACAGATTTCCTTTCAGTCCTGAACAGTTAGATAGTGCTGCATCCTGCCTGACAGCCACTGGCTTCTCCCCATCCTGTAGGCAGCTGAATAATTACCATGTCATTAGCTATTCTGAACTATATGCAACAGTAGTGGGAGGAAGCTTCCTAGCCTAGTGTCCACCTTGCCTTCAGGCCTCTTACCCAGATGAGAAGAGGCATATTATTTGGCAAGAGAGAGCCTGGGAGGCTTCCCTCAGACAGTATCAGACTTCAAAGGCACTGGGAAGAGCTGGGACATGTTTCGTGGAACACCGCTAGTGCTGGYACAGTGGTTACAGGCTCCACCTTACCTGCAAAGGGGCCCCACAAGCCACAGACATGCACGAGGGCTGGGGGCTGCTGCAGAAGCTCTGCTGGGAAACCCAGTCACCCCGGGCCTACACATTTAGGGGTACATTTTCCACTTAAGCCCACCTGCCTGCTCACCCCCTTTCTTCCTTCTTTCCTCACCACCATGTGAGAGGCAACTCAGCTGGGGCACTATAAGTGTCCCTACTCCTGGGCCATCTTCGTGCAGGAGAGAGGATGTGGTGAAGCAGATGGTGATTTGGTCTCAACCCAAATCTCAGTATAGATGCAGCTTCCATTTCCTTTACCCTGTGCTAGAGAGGATGTGGTCACTGCCAGTGTGTGCAGCTGGAACTCCACATCTGCTTTGGCTTAGCCCCTCGGCAGTAGTGTGTCTGCAATGTGCATTAGGYGATGACTCACAGGGAAGCACTGCTGCTGTTAACCCCTTCTCCTCTTCCACCCAAGGAACAGGCTCCATTAGCCGGCACCTTTTGCAGACCCCTCAGTGCGGTGCCTTGTCCGTGCCTGGGCAGCGCAGCGCAACTCACCTCTTGGCATTTGGTGCAATTTTCCCCTTGACAGTGAGGCGCTGGCCGGGYTTGAGACCCAAGTTGGTACACACTGGTCCCTGGGGAACGTGGAAGCAGAGACATTAGCTGAGTACCTGGTGGCTCACTTCTGACTTGGCAGCTCTCCCTGCTGCCTTTCAAGACATGCTTTGGACTGATGGAGAAACAGGGAAACTCCCTTGCCCTAGGGCAGTGCTGCAAGGACACCCCAGAGAGGTTACCCCATCACATGGTACAGTTGATTGGTACTCGATTTCCCAATCTTTCCCTGCTGCTCTCATCAACATATCTGTATTTCATGGCAGGGAAGAGTAAATACCTGAACGCTCCAGTCACACCTCCCCATCCCACACCCATGTGCTTTGTGGGTCTCATGTCATCCCACACAAGTCTGTCTGGGATGGATGGATGGAAGGGATGGAGTCTCCACTCCCTTCCCCTATCTTGTGTTTGAACTTCAAGCCTTGCCCAGGTCCAAGGGCTCAGACACCTTGCCTCCCATCTCCCAAGGGCTTGGGCTTTTTTTTCACAGGCTCAGTATTTGCAAGAGCATTCTCATGCTCCACATTCCCCCCACCTTCTCTGTAGGAGGACTAAAGTATCCTGGAAAACCCATCTGTAGGCATTTTTCATCAAAGCAGAGGCAAGACCTCAAGAAAACTGAAAATCTTTTCCAATCCCACTTTAA